AAGGCATAGATATACGCTAAATACCAGTAATAGGCTATTAAGATCAAAACTTTCATAAATAAAGCATTTAAACAGAAATAGAGTGCTTTCTGTACAGTCTGAGAAAAATATATAATTTTTATATCTTCGCACCTATCAGAATTAATTATAGTAGCTGGTCTGTGTGCAATCGTCAATGTGGTATGGCCGGAAAATTCCTTTCTGATAGTAGCCTGCACCATCTCACAAGTCTCCATATCGATAGCGGCAGTGGCCTCATCTAGAACCAGAATTTTAGTATTCCTGAGGAGAGCTCGGGCAAGGCAAACAAGCTGACGCTGTCCAACACTGATGTATGAGGAATATAATAATATAAAATAGAAATGAAGAGGTAGCTAGGTATAACAGAATTGTATATGCGAAGAAAAGTTGGGTTTGGAGGAGTGTATCGTTTCGTACTTGTTGAGCTTATTTCAATTTCAAAGGAAAGTGTTTGATGAAGAGATTCGAAGGTCGATGCCACTAGACAATGACGACTGATTCCTCTTTACCAGTTGTCGATTGGCCTTACTGGACCATTCATGTTTCCGAGGCGATTCCAGTAAAAATGAGCTGAGCTTTCGTCCGTCGTATGACGAACATCATTAACCAGGGCATTCAACAGGGAATAAGTAAGGAGAGATAAGAGATCCTCTTCCCATAAAGTGGGGAACAGACGGTTTTCATGGAAACTACTACATTTTCTTCAGTTATGTCCACTTTTAGACAGAAAGTTTGTCCACTCGCCAGATCGGGTTGCTATAAATAATGTGTTCATGTGGACGCTATTATGTTGGAGAAACCTGTCGTCCCATTATACAAAGGGTAGTTAAGCACAGAAGCTCCTGTAGAGGCTGTTAGGTTGAAAAATCAGAGCTAGCTAAACATAAGGTAGAAACTGAATATTACAGAGAACTGTCTCAAGCTTATAGTTTTGCTGATTATGATATATCTGTAGGTAAACGTAAAATTAGATAAGCTTAGGAAGTAAACCGAAGAGGCAATACATTGAATATGAGGAATACTAGCAAGGAATTAAGTAAAAACTACTTGTGCTAAACTAATAGAGTCAAGGACAGATAGGGTGTTAAGAAGCTTGCAAAAAAAGTGCCTAAACTAGCCCTATCTTTTCTTTTCTTGTTTTTATCCATGGTCACTCTTCTCTGCGTTT